GTAATGTTATGTGATTTTCACTCTGTTATCGCTAAAACAGGTCGGAAATCATTCGAATACTTTGGAATTAAGTTTATTAAAGTTTATTTAAAGATAATCCGAAGTTTTATGACAAATTAAGGGTTTAAATGTGAAATATCAACAACTCTATAGATTGCGGCCAGAATTTCTTCAATTGACCTGTCATGTCCATTTAAATAATCCCTCTCGTTTAAAATTGGTTTGTGGTAAGTTGAATTCACGTAATTTTTTTTTGTATGATTTACCCCCTGCCAAAATGTCCGACGTATTGTCGACGTCGTCAATAAAGGGCATCGCTATAGCGTGAAAATATGAAATTATTTTTGTCTTTAGAAATTAAGGAAACAATAATAAACAAACCATATTTGCAATGTTATTGATTGCCCGGCGGTCACGTGAATWTATTCCTTTATTTTGAGAGATTTTTTTTCGTCGAAAAGCATTGATTAACAGCGCCACTCTTCAATTTATTTCGAATTCCCATACACAGTTATGTGCAGGCGTACTGAATAGTTCGTTTTCCTTCAAGACTATATCGTGTCAGCACAAAACTAACAGTCTTTATAACCGCAARCTAGATTTAGATTCAGTAATGAAAGACAAGGTGAATTTCCTTTCTGCTCAAAAAAACACTCGTTTTTCCCGCATGTTAACCTTAAACTTTAATATACCCACATGTAACTCGCAATTACACGATTTTTCATTTGACAACGATATCTTTCTAATGAAATATGCATATTATACATGCTTTTCTAATTTTGCGAGTCTTCAGGCCTAATAAAGTTAATAATGAGGATCGGTTTCGTTGTTTCWCATTTAGCCTCCTGATTAAAGATATCAGAGACAAAACGAAATTGCGAATGTTATCCGAGTCATTAGTTCAGMAATCCTTAAGGAAAGCCGCCGATAACCTAAGGTAATAAACATTAAGTACCTCTAAATCCACATGGATATTCACGATAAACATCAAAAGAACTATAAATAACATTCGTGGATTAAAACTAATTCTTCTGCAATGATAAGTCGGCTTTTATGCAATAATTACCGATTGCAAACCTTTGTAGTGGTTAGATATGCACTTTTTTAAATATATAGGTTATTTTTAGAATTATTAGGTTATTTTTTGAACGTTTTGTGATTTCGTCCACTTTACACAAATTGATTTTGTTACTTCCATAGTAATTTATACTAAAAATGGTATTGGATTAGCAATACGTATGTTATTAAAATAACCGTAATAATGAAAGGTAGTAGGGGTTCTCGAAGCACATTTTGTGGTTTAACTAAAATGTGTTGTCATTTAATATTTATGCCCACCCGTTTCGGGGGTCTTTTTAAATACTTCCGCCAAACCTTAACTCTGCCAATATCGTAAAGTATCGCTAAAGGGCTGCGTCAGGTTTTACTTTATTCTTTTTAGAAAAAATGTTTTTTTTTCTTTTCATTTATTTCTTTTCTTTTATTTCTTTTTTTACACTATTTTTTCTTGTATAATAACGGCGTTCCTACACCAACCAAGGACCACATGTTGTCTAATAATCAGCGCACTTGTACTATGAATTGCAGTAAATCACGTGACTATGATCACACACATACGAAGTTTTGACTAGTTTGGATTGTCATAAAGCAAGAAAGATCCAAAATGTGTTTAAAGGATTTTATTTTAATGGCCACTGTTCGAGGAGACAAACGGTTGGGGCGTTGCCTTTTGTCAAAAACCGAAGAAAATATTTGTAGAGGAATTGAAGAGACCGGCAATGGCTACTCTGTGTTCACTCCTGTAAAGTATCTCTTTACGGAAGAGATATTGTAATATTTTAATTTAGCCACCGACAGCAATAACACTCCCCTGATAATGACAAATATGGGCCATAATCATAAGTCTTCCTAACACTGTATTGAACATTAATAGATCTTAAAAACTAGTGGATCTTGAGGTCTCAAAGAAATATCTCCCATCCGTTGGTAGAGAACGATGTAACATTTAAACTGTCATTCATGTATCTTCTGAAAAGTGGCGGGAAATAATTTAAACATGTTTTACTCAAGAAGTTAATATTCTTAATTTATTTGCTGTYGGCTTTATCTTAACGACAATGCCATAGATTTAAGTAACAAACTAAGACAATAAGAAAGAACTGACTTATTTGTTATTGGTGGGCGGCAATGGTGGTAATGTCGGAACTAATATTTTTACTGCCGTTATATCTTATTACGGCATGCTAATTACTATTTGACGTTGATTATTTGAACTTCTAAATCCAGAATAATGGAAGCACTGTCTGAAAAAAACCCTATTGTAATCATTGGACGAACGAGAGAACATTTTAAGCGCGTTTTTACAAAAGCCAAAAGTTTTAGTGCGGTTTATAAATGAATGCGAATGAACAGTTTTTTGCTAGTAAAATGCATGTAAATAGTTTACTGGAAGGGTCAACTTTTGTCTCTCATTACCATATGAAATGACTTATACACCTTTGAGTATGGTTTATTTYSRARKTTTTTTACGTAGCGTCGATAAGTGGTGGCTATAGTAGGATCTGTTGGTGTAATTATGCATTGAGTCGGTGTTTTTTAACCATGATTTGTATTTACGATTGCCTTCTTTTCACTTCATTAGCACATCTTTGCGACTGTAAAGCAAATTGTTGACCAATGATATTGATTTTGGTAAAAGTCTATTACCTCAAGGAAGAATAGAATCTATTTTTTGAAAAAACCCACCGCAATCAATGCACAGTATAAATAATCCATTTCAGTAAATCAAGTTCAAATTTTGTCACTTTGGCGAACAAAGGGAAATTCTGAAAAAGTAATAATTGAAATGCAAATTTTTGATTACCTASAGCACTGACAGATGTTTTTGTTTTAAAGAAATTCAATAAAATTGAGTCAATACAAGACAGCGACTTGTCGGGAATAATTTACTCTKTTCTAAGGTTTGCCTGACTGTCTGCGATATTTGCAGGAAGATTATTTCTCGATAGGAAAAATTGCTACAATCCTATTCTCAAGTGGATCGGTGATTACTTTATGAATGACATAGGCTCTCCAATGAGCAATCGAGATAATGAAACATTCATTTTTTATCGGAAACTTTAAGAATTGTGGCAGAATACAAAATCAACATAAAAACCGCTTAAAAATAAAGGCTTGCCGTCTTGGGAGTCAATTGACGTCTGAAATGGTGCCCTCAATCCGTTGTTTTGTTTGTCATTGAAACCCTAAATAAAATAATTCTAAAACTTTAACCAAATGGAAACCTTTGCCTCGAGGGTTTTCACTGCAGTATTGTACTTTCAATGGGTTTCGATCGATCGTTCTGTGATAATCACTTGACTTGTATAATCACGATTGGCTTTTTATTTTTACTGTCCAGGGATGTTTTGAACATAAATATAWATCCAGGCGGAAATGTAATCGGTACAAATTACGTGGGAGGTCAAGTACCGAATAAACCTCTATTTTTCAAAACATACCTAACGTTCTTACCTTATAAACATCGTTCATACCCGACAGCATGTCGAAGTACGTGTACAGCTTGTTGAGCAACTTGACTATGTCCATGGGTACAACATCGTCATTTGAACAGAGTGCTGTAAACCCCACGATGTCACTAAATAAAATCGTTACCACTTTATAGCTTTCCGCAGGCACTGGTTGATTTAAGCGTAATTTAGCGGCGACCTCCTTGGGCAAAATTGAATGAAGCAAATCATCGGTCTTCTTTTTATGATCAATCAGTTTGCTTTCAATCTTTTTCAAATTGTTGCTGGTTTCTTCCAATTTTTCAACCAATTCTCTCTCGGCTCGCCTTGCGTGTGTCATAAAGAGCAGGTCACGGGTRGCATCATGGACGGGGATGTCACTGAAGAAGAGGTTTTTTCGTCTAAACGAGTCTAGGTTCGTAACGCGTGGTGAACATAAGAAAAGTAGACAGTCGCATTCAGGAATATACAACATCTGTCCTTTGAGACGCAGTACTGCAGCTTTTGAATCCTCTKGTTCTGATGTCGAATCGCACAATTCAATTACTCCCGGTTTTGTGGTAACGATGAAGACCGTATTAATATGTGATCTGACAGATTGGAAACTGAACTCCATGCGAGGTCTCGCTAGATCAAAAATGTCCGTAAATTTCTTAGTGCTTTGTGGTTTGCATTTTAACAGTCGTARAAGTGAAAGGCCCGTTTGTTTAATTTGAAGCTTGCGGTCGAACATCACATGGAAAGGAAAAGCCTTGCAAAATGAAAGCAAGCTCATGCTGTCAGCACGTTTCTCGTTCACTTTTTGTGTTGGTGAGGTGACTTGCGATGCTTGACCCAGTGTGTCAAAGGTTTGCAAGCCTAGTTTTGATGTGGTGGGACTTTTAGACTCGGCCTCTCGTATGGCGAATGTTACATGGTCGTTGTTTTCGTCTGCATCTTCGTGTATCTCGACTGTCATCTCCGTGTTTAATAGCTTGTGTGCTATTGCCTTAACAAGTCCTATGACAATGTATGAAAGCCCGGGTCGTTTGGAATAATAGTGTAACAACAACGTCCCGTCGTCTGTTTCTGTACACCTAAATGAAGGTGCTTCCATTCCTGGGTAGATGGATTGTAAATGGTCGTGTAGGGCATCGAGATTGCAAAGAAAATCGTGCAAATTCCTGCCAAGGACCCGAAGAATGCGATCATAGCCAGACTGAATGCAGTAATCAAGGAAATGCGCTCCAAAAACTTCCAGAACAGGATTGAGCTCAAGCCCTAGAAATACAGAACCAAATTAATTAATAAATGACATTTATCTGACATTCGATGCGTCCGATCAACAATTCTATAGCTACACGAAAGCACCTTTTGCGTTAGACGTACTCACCCAGAACTTCGCACGCGGCACCAACCAGACTTAATGTTTCTTGATCATCGTAAATCTTGTGGATAAGATAGGACCCACCATCAAGTTCGACGCCAGCCTTGGCGCTATGGTTGACAAGATACAAATGTCAACAAAGCTTCCAACTCAAACACATTTCAATGCCCCGCAAAAAAGAGCATCTCGAAAGCACTGTCTATAGATAGTACTGTCAGATAGATACTCACATTATCTTCCGCCAAACTTCTTCTCCAAACTTACTGATTACAAGATCAGCCAGAGCACAGTGGATGAATCCATACTGCCGCGATATAAACTAGCTGTTAGTACAAACAATTCGTGTTCGACAGTTAACTATTTGATTTAGTGTACACAACTTACCATTTTGTTTCGCTACTGATAATCCACTTGGTTATTCTAGTTCTCGCTGAGACATCAAGAGCAATTGGCCGGCTGAGCAGTTCCACTATCCGTTTGTGGTACGTGTAACGATGAACACTAAAGATGATAATGAATGCGTGCGTTACCCTCAAGGTCACGTGTAAGATAAATGCATTGTAGACGTAAGACCTGTTATTAAAAACACGGACAGGATACCTCAATGTTTTGTACATTAATTAACTGTTTCGTGACAAATATTCAAGGAACGATTAGCAATGACAATAGTGCACGGCCAATAAAGATTTGTCGAAAACGATGTAGTCACGTCTTGTATTTTCTAGAGGGGGATTTTTAAAACGGTAGATCGTGTTTCATACCCTACATATTCAAACGCTTCGAGTTGATCACTTCACTTGGACATCAACAGCCTGTCACAAAAGTTAATCCCCCTCAAATACTATTGGTATTTTTAGCGGACTAGAGTGATGAAAGCTTTATCGCTAAACTATTATTTTAAATTTTGCTGATCCAATTATATACGGTACACGGCACTGCGCTCTTTTCTGCTTGTGTTAGTAAACCACGAGGTATATTGTTATTTTCTGCGGGTTCTATGGAAATTGGGTCTTGCTAAAAAACATATGACTTCGTCTAAAGACGTTTAATTTTTTAACAGTGGCTGTTTTTATTATAGCTATAACCAATAACTTTAGCTTGTTTGTTTTTTCTTTTCAAAAAAATAACAATCAGTTGAATATTACATCTAAGTATGGAAATGAATATTCTCATTACTAAGACACATGAAAACAACTTGATTTAAAAATTATATCAACAATCATGGTTTTTCTTGGTGTTTACCGATAAATAGACACAGTAATTTTAAACGGCGCCATGATGATGTCATTCAAATCACTTCTAGTGACTAAATTGTCACATGCGCATGAATAACGAGACGAATGCCATGATCACCGAGCTCTTGAATTTCAAAGATAAATTTGCTTTATAAATAGAGGCATTTGGGGCTTTTAACCAAAACTATTAGATTCACTTATTCTTACCAAGGAAGTATATAATGTTGCTTGGGTTGGCTTCAAGGTACAGGAGAACTGTCAGAGCTTCTGCGTTTCATCTGCAGTAATACCCGACTCTCTTCATTTGAYTTTGAAATTAAAAAACAAATACGTTTTAATATGAAGCATTCAAACGTCTACGCCAACGACAATTCAATTGATGTTTTCGTGTACTTGCCAATCAAGCTATAGTAGGGCTAAGCCTAAGAGTATTTTTGATTTATGGTTACACCCCCGTGCTGCTAGTCGATCGACAGCAGGAAGAACGCGAACTCCCGGATGATTTTCATTAAAACGGCCTATAGAAGAGGAATAATAAATCATAGAGAATCCTAGACTTTGTGTATTGAATGATCTTGGAATCGACAATAATTTTTTTTTTGCAAATATAGAACCTGTTGGTAATAAAAAAGGATTTTTATTTTCTTTGGAGTTAGGAGTGTGGATGATTTAGTTAACAAATGAKCCGAATCGCCGGCGACTTATTGAATCCAAATCCATCTCCCAAACGAGAATCCAGTGGTAATTGTAATACCCTATAAGGGAAAGAGCGATGCTAAATCCTTTGGACCGAAAGTAGATGAATTGTAGTTGCCTAAGGCCGGGTTTTATTATATATATTTATTATTATTTCGAATGCCCGAAACGTTCAATAAAAAGTGGAAACCAAGTTACAAGTTGTGGCTTTTTCTTTCAATTTAGTCTATTTATTTATTATATCCTCTATATATATCTTCATTTGCACTGGTATATATGAGAGTATATCTACATGTTATAGTGATAAAGCTTATTGTAAGTTTGCTATTCATCTCAAATGTCGTCAAGATTGATATGAAAAATGCAAATAAAGCTCAATCAATTTTATGATTTTGTTTTAAGAATGACGGAACTTAATTTAACCGGTTTTGTTGACATTTCAGGCTTTTACGTCAAAGTGAAGTCTAAATGATTTTTCTATTCTGTGCACACGAMGATAATTTAATGCGAGTGACATGATTGGGTTTCTTGGAAACCATGCTGGTATTTTATAACAAACATCATGTAAAGGTCCTTATATCAAACTTTAAATAGCGCTTGATGTGGTATCTTGCTGGTTTTTAAAAGGTCAAGATTTTCGGCCACTGATTTCTCTCCCTGTGGTTCTCCTATTCGCTCCCTCCAAGACATACAGGTCCATTCGTTAATAATCAATGACACAACGCCAGTTGTATGTACTCTCACATTAAATCTCTGAATATTTATTTTTTTTCAAGAGGACCCACAGCAATTCATCAAAGAAGGAAATAAAAAGATAACCAATGCATTTTTATTTACTTAGCCATGGGCGATATCCATTATGAAAGATTTATAGTTTTGTCGTAGGTTTACCAAGGGAAAATCTTTTTAAAGTGTGTAGTTAAAACGATAGCCAATTATCCATTCGGCAATTGCTTTATAGATATAAGAATGTCCAGCCAAATCGTTCAATTGCAAGTTTTAAATAGAGCCTTTGCCAAAATGGCCGCCGATCATTAGCATATTTTTTTTTTTATTTTAAGCCCAAGACAAAATACTGAGAATTCTGCAAAAGCTCAGTAGGTTCAACTCAAAATCCATGGAGATATAAAGTAAAAAAAACCCTGTATATGTATTTTTAGGGCCATGGCTTATTTCCCCAGACTGATGCATTTCTCTGTGATTTTTTTATTCTTCTGCAGGTTTTTATTGGAATTTACTAAAAATTTGAAACAGCTTCTAACTGAAGCATATTCTTTAGTATTTCACAGGAAAGTCTGGTCAGGTTTCGACAAAAAAATGGTARTGAGAGATTTCAATTTTGGAAATTCTCTATTGCTGGAATATTTTTTTTTATTTATGCCATACTAACGTATTMAGAATAAGATATGCATCTAATTGAAATAAACGTCGGGTTTCAAAAGATTACATCATAGACCGMAAGGGAGCATGGGAAAGCAAAATTATGAGYATAACAGTGTTTCAGTGGCAAAACATTGCACCTGCTCTGAAWAAAATGACCTCCTCTACGAGTAAAGCTATGGTGTAACAMGTTTAAGCAAAATTGGAATTTTTGAGTACTTAAAATCCCTTTCTGTGTAGATTCGATGATGTCATCTTTTTGACAGCGTTTTTCAAAGTAGATGTTCTTCAAAAAACAATGAGCACTAAYGCCGAAATGCATTGTTGGTTGTCTAGACTTACGACAGGTCAGACTCTCTTTGGATTTACAAAATTTCGAAAAACGACATTAATTCAAAATCGAAAAATTGATAATAATGATATAAGCACGAGAGTTCCATCTAAAAAGACCTTTTGCAAGTCTATTGGTCGCCATATTGCCGCTAAACTGTACTACTGAAAAGTCTGACAAGAGACCTTCAAAGATAAGTCAATTTAGTTTAGAATCCAGCATTACACTGTGCAGTATTACAGTATTCGTAATATCTTTATTTTAGTCATTCATAAAAGGTGCAKTTTCATTTTCTTATAATAAACATACTTCAGTAGTCAGAAAATCAAGTTTACGGTAGCTGTTTGCCGATTGTTTGTTTATTTGTAATCTTAAGGCTGATGTCTGTTRGTTTACTTTCTCAATGGTTCATAAACCAATTTTCCTTTTGAATCAAAAAACAGCTTTTTCATTACAGTCGATTTTTTTTATTTAACCTGAAGATTTGCATAAGCCTTGCTTTAATTAACACCAACGATAAGACTAACGGCTACCTTGATAACATTTAATACGCTATTTYGTTTAATAAAAATATTGGACTCTCGAGAAAAACRRCAATAGCGAACCAATTGATCGATTTGACAGAATCGAGTATGTACCTACCAAGGGAGCTGCGATCGCGTTTCCCGACAAATGTTAGTTAGATTTCACCGTCAAAATCAGGTTATCTTAAATTTTAATAGTTTTTTAATCGCTTCTYGACTCGGTCTATCAGTAAATCCCAGTTTGCGAAATCTCATGCTATTTTTCCCCATTTTTAAAAGCTCCCATATTACCAGCAACCTTCCCTATTTGCTGAAWATAATCCCATTCGCACTTCAAAACAAAAAGTATTAATACCTGTCTTATCCTCTTCAGATCTCGAATCCTCATTTTATTGAAAAAATAAGGTGTCCCCTGGTTATTACTTCTGCCATCCAACGTTGTATTATATTGTTTGCGATATATCTTATAAAGATAATATCTGTAGTTATTGGGAAGAATTAAGCCGGTTATAGCTAAGTGAGACGGGGCTATTTCTAGTAGAATATCTTGTTATCTTAACGATAATAAAGCCCTGCTAAGCGACCACGGCAAGTCCAAAGSTATATCACCTAAAGGCGTTATCGGCGCTCACTGATAGTCTGTCATTTGAGTCCTTTGCCGCTACTAATTGAAATGAATAAATGAATATTGGTTTTAATAGTGTCTGTAGCCAAAGGAACTTGGAATTCATGAAAAAACTACAACAAACTTAAAATTATGAATCCTTGAAATGATGTCGAGGAGACAATTGGAAACATTGTTTGAATGAAAAACAAAAGAAAGAAATGGTCKATCGAAATGGTCTTCCAAGCAGTATTGGAATACATTAACACGCTAAGAATTCTAATTAAAAATGAGCAACGTRAAAACGAGAAAACATACCAAAACAAAACAAACTCAGAGTCAGTTGATTATATTAACATTTGGGAAAAGGTGCGGGCGCCTTACAATAAAAAGATAGTTTATTCCAATCAAAACAAGATGATTGTCTGTCAGTAATAAAATATTCCATAAAAGCGTCGGCTGACCTTTATTCGTGGCGTTCGGGTGATAACAATTGTCAAATTCACTCTTATGCAAAAAGAAAAACTTGAAATATCGGCAGATCATATTCCGTACTTATCCGCTTTTTCGCCAGCTTAAAAGTCTTTGRTTTGTCAAGAGGCGATTTCAAACAGACCTTCGCAGAGATTTGTAACGGTTTATCAAAGGAAATTGTGACGTATAATTTTCGTAATTAAAATCCAAGTTATATTCGGTAGTCCCTTTTAAGAACCTTCACTTAGAGTCGCGCACTTGTATGAATGGGTCAGTGTACTTGATGTGCTCTAAATATGCGATACGAGATGTCATTGGTCAATGTGAATTAACTCAAGGTCTGTAGGTTGAATGACATGATCAAACTGTGGATRGTATATCCATATTCTCGGACTAAAAGGGTATCTTGCACGTGTGCATGCATGCTGCCTGCTAATATCAAAATTGCTCGGTTTCGATTCTTATTTTCTAGTTGCGGTAATATCTATCCAAAATGTTTTTTCGTTTCTTTACTCATGCTGAGTTCAGGGATGCTTTTTGAGTAAGTGTGAGTAGTCTTTCATCTATCCGTGTTTGACCAAATATGGTGGATCCTTTGGTTTCCGAATTTTTGCCGTAAACTTTGATACATCCGAAATAGTCGAGATAAAATTTGATATCAACTCGAGTCGCACTATTTCACTATTAGGCGGGTCAATTCAAAACATTCTAAAAGAGGACAGAATGATGACAAGGCAAAGAAAAACACCATAAAAGGGTTTTTACTAAGCAGAGAAGAGGAGAAAGACAGCAAAAGCTCTATAAATAATGTCAGACAATCATTGAAACACAATATATTTAAAAAAWTATGAACCATAAGATTTAGTATCGAACCGAAGATTTAGTATTAATTTATTGTTTTGATTTGTTCGCCCTCAATGTAAACATCCTGTGGCGTCAYAGTGAAACAAGGCAATTGATTTTTTCCTGTTCTATCCCTCATACTAAGCTAATTGTTTTTAAAGAAAACCGAAAGAAAATGACCYAMTATTTTTCTACCCGCCCMCTACCCCTGTAGAGGTAGTCTGTTGAAATTGCAGCTCCTCCCATTAAATATAAACTAGTAGCTTAGCCATCCGCGGGATACGTTTCCTTGATGACAAGTGACTAATGTTATGTGGTCAGGGCATAGCATGTGTCATGAAAACATTGCAAGTCCTACATTTTATAGAGTAAATGCACACGGACTAAGAGAAAGATCTCCTGCGATGTCTGTATTGATTATCTAAACTACTTGTATATACAAATCACTAATAACAATAATGGAACGCTACAATAACATGAAAACAGTATGTAAAACCATCTTAGATATATAATGATTGTGAGCGATTTTGAATTGATTACATGTGTAATCAATACTTCAATATTAATCATTTTCATTTTTTTGTACCTAGTCAACCAACCAATCACACTGTGTATTTCCATTTAGAATGGTTTTCAAGTAGAGTGCCCTCTGTGTGAGGTTATCAAAATGTTATATCTTACCTCCAAATAGGACAGCTCCTTGAAGCTATTAAAGCCAAGTCTATAAATGGAATGATTTGAAGGCACTCTGTTCTTTGAATAATGTGGAAACCTTTCAAAACTAATTGCTTAAAATAAATCTAAAAGATGCAGCAAATGGGAAGCTCCATTCGTTTCTATACGCTGTATCGAAAACGAAAGRATATTCTAGAATATTATAGTTTGTGTTACTGTTAAGCAAACAAACATTGTATAGAAAACAGAATTGAATTGTTCTCTAGAAAACAAATTCCTATAGGATCAACACTGAAATTTCGCTATTAAATTTTAGAAGACATATTTTCTAAACGAAATAAAAAAGTCTTAGTTACAGAGTATTTCAGAAAGTAGGAAAAATACACCATGGTTTGCATGTCGTCTGAAGAACAAAAAATTAACTCAATTAACTGGTGCGGCAGCCCTTTGCGTATGTCAACCAATAACCTTCATCGGCTGCAAAGGCTTATATTAGTTTAATGAGAGCTACAAGTTGGATTACTTCTTTGTAATCAGTTATTATTAGCCGTCATTTAATAATTTATACAGCCTTGGTTCTGCATATTTTAATAAGACTGCGGCCATTTCGATAGAAATGTAGGGGACTTTGCCCTCTCGACTTTGCATTGCACGACTGATAAGTCAATCCTTTTCTGAGCCATTCAGTAATTCTAAAATAAGCTGATCACAAATCCTTGACGAGACATTTTGTAGTGTTTGCWAAGAAAAACTGAAATTCTAAGCAGATTAATCGATTTCTAATGAGCTACGGCAGCTTTTATAGTTTTAAAAGTGATATAAGTTTCACCTTTTTTAGTGTCTGACGAAGTCTTCAGCTTTCCCTTCACTCACACATAACATACTTAGAAGTGTAGTATTAATTATCCATTTTTGTGTTAGACTTTGGATTGGGGTTAGCCTCAAGTGCCTGAATTTACTTGGCCGATTGGCTCAGTTCTCTGTTGACAAAAAGGTATGCCAGAAATGCTACAGAAGTTTTGCCTGAGGGATATTCCTGCATTTTGAATGCGTAAAACTCGACTCGCTATCTAGTTACAGGATTTGTTAATAGAACAACTTTACTTCCCAGACATTAAATTTAGTAATGCTTTCCATTGTTCGTATATTTCATTGAAGGCCAAATTGGATTAAAGATATATCCGAAACAACAGCAACGACCCAATTAGTCATGTGCAGGGAAGCACGAGCTCGAATAGACGCGATTTAAATTCAGTTATTGTAAAAAAACGGTTATATACTATACGTTGCCTTTGYARTGGCAGCAAAATTTGAAAAATACTGACCTTCCAAGATGTTACTAGATTGACCCAATGAACTAAGTTGAAACACTTGAATCTTGCAGACAGATTGGAGAATTACCAAAGCCTCTATAACTTGCGTTATGGCTTAAATTAAATACGTAGCAGTTGCTTAAATCCCTGATCAATGCGAGCACCTCGTTCGATTATGTGATACTGTCACAAGGTTAAGTAATTACCATACGTGACGAAGGAATTCAACATCTACAGGTCTCCACTAACTCGCATACTTGACCTTCCTTCAGATACCATGAAACGTTACTCTACAGTTATTCACGGTGATTGCGATAAAATAATATTCAATATTTGTTGATATCACTAGCTGGACTATAGAAGCTAAAAAAATCATAAAGTTCTCTTTTTGCGTGTTTTAGTGTTTGTTGTCTGAGTTAACTCCGGTTTTAATCGATCAAAAAGAGGTTCAAAAAGCAATTAGTTTTTGTGCTTTTTCCCTCTTTTTTAATTTTTAATGTGATATTTTTTTCGATTATTAAAAGCAGGCTTCTCGAGACATGCTCAAGTTTGAGATGAAGCGGCCTAGAATTAAAAATGTAATGAAGTAGAAGAGTTAAGTAATAAAAAACCCTCCCAGCTAGCAAGATCCCCGCGTTTGCAGCTTAGAAAATAGACTCTGTTAGAYAAACAAGAGAAGAGTAAATCTTGTGGTCACATTTTGTTCTTTTGATGTTGTATAAACCAGAGTGTTTCAAGATAAGATACTGCACTCACCGTCATTGTTGTTGGTGAAAAAGAAACACTTATCTAGAGAAAATGCTTCGATGCATTCTCAAGGTCATCAATAATTTGTCATTTGATCAGAAATACACCTAATCGGCTAACGCGTTGCCATTTACGTTACCACCCAATTCAAATCCTGTGGGAAAAATAAACTTTTGTTTCTAAGAATTCCACTGTGAAATGAAAATACGCGATGAACAATGAAACTTGCTCCCGGGTGGTTTGAATTGGGTGGAAACGTTTATAGCAACGCGCCAACCGATTAGGTCTATTGGCGAGAAAAAGATCTGAAGAGAAAGATTGCTCAAAGTTGAAATATTATGCCAAACATTGGTCAAAAAATCCCATGATCCTCTCCGTGATGCGTTCATACTGTAAAAGTATATCAGTCACAAATAATATATGYAAATCAATCAACTTAACACGATAGTATAAACAGTTTAAAGAATTTYATAGCTTTCATCAAAACTTCATAAGCATTGAGTAAAAATAGCCACCTGTCTCACTTATTTCTAGACAGCCACGCCCAAAATATACCTCGTCTAGAATATTCAAGATTCTTAGACTGTTAATGATAAAAGACCCTCTCCTCGATCACTGCCATTTGTTTCTCTGAAGTGGTCATGTTATAAGGAAACATAACTTAAAGCTTGCTTTTTTGCCATGAATATCGTGTAATCTAGTTCTTGTTTGGGCGGTTAGAGCTCAATTTGCATAGTAAATATAGCAACAAATTTCGCATATCGGAATATAGCGACATCGGATATCGACTGATATGGTTGACGAGTGATGTCTGCATGTTTCCGAAACAGTTAGACAGACTTGCTAGACGATAAAATTGTGGTTCTGTTTTTACTRTCAAGTTAGTGAACTTTGGTGTGTTTAAAAATCCTATTCCTTGTGCAGCACACCAGGTAATAAGTGTTTTTTTTAGCTTTAGGCGGAACTATGTGCATAGTAGCGATGATATCGGCTTGCAGAAACACGTGTGGAGTTTGATCTGAATTGATGGATAAAAAGCTACTTTTAAGATATTAAAAGATATTCCAAGATAATTTAGATATTAAAAGATATTTCAAGATAATTTAGGAATTGTCTATATATAACCTTGGTCGACAAAAAAGAGTTATATAGAGATTGAATCAGTCCTTGCTAGCGGCTATATTTGTATATTCGGAYCTTTAGTTTGCGAGACCACCACCATGCCATTTATAGATCATGCTGAAAATAAGTCAAACACATTTAACGTTCCTTTACTCTATGCCCGGAGGGTTTGACATGTAATATCTCTGTCCAGTATGATGTCTACTTGGACAGTTAGTGTTAAAAACAAGTGTTCATCGCTGATAGGTTTTCTGCTGACTCAGGAGTCCAGTTCTAGAGAGACAAGTTCGTACAGTAAGCTATGTTTCTGTTTGGCTGTGGCACCGGTGTGTTGTCCCATTTTTACAGCCGCCTGGAGCTTTTATTGTAACGGTCCAGGGCTCGTCGGCTGTGCACCAGTATGAGTAACATTTCTCTGACTGTCGAGGTCAATGTCTGGCCTGTTCTTGCCAGTCTTCTGTGTTAATCGTGCATTCATGTTGTGTTTCAAGTTGTCCTCGGAATTTTTTCGTTGCACAGCCTAGCTTGATTTCAATGATTCCTTGAGAGCAGCAGAATTTATGCCTACCATCTTTTCCGCAAAATAAACGGGTTACCTATGACCACGCACACCTTCCACAGTGTTGTTGAGAGAGTTCTCTGTTTTGGGGTATTTCCGTCTTATTGCAGTCCCTGAATCAACATTCATGATCATGGGAGACGGGAAAAGAATATAAGAATTTGTGGTAGTCTCATTTTTTTAACGCCTAGACGTGCGCTTWCTAAATTTTTGCCAGCGACTCCCTTTCCTTCAATAAAAAGCATGGATCCGCCTTTGTAATAATGTGGCCCTCTCAGCGAAGTTCGGTCGTCATGATAATGATGAACTTGTCGTAATGCTGGAGAATTGGCCCCTTTTAATAAAACACTGCAGTGCTTCTCTGTTCTGCAATTTGATATTTCGCTGACGACACATTCTTTTGACTTTTTAGGGGTAATATGTGCCTTACGGCGCCAGATCAGACTGAGGAGTTCACCAGCATGGTACTATCGTGCTGTTTTACGCTTTCATGGTTTGATAGTCAAGGTTTGGGGAGAGGTATAGTGGGATGCTGGAGCCTAAATCCACCAGTTCTTAAAATCCTCAAGTTTTAAGTTTTGAGCGATCCGCAAAGGACCCGTATCAAGAATAGTCGCATCCACTGATTCCTAAAGCCCCCTCAGTTTTCACACCATGGCACGCGCGACCTTGATCACTACTGTTCCCATTTGAAGTCTTCTTCATTAAATAATTCAAATAAGACTGAATTATATAAGGGGGAAGACTTCAAATGAAAACAATATTTACGCTCTCTGCGCCTAACAGTCCCAATAGTACAGAATATAACTTTGGCAAGAAAGAATGCCTAGTTACTTTACGAACAAAATTCAAACCTATTTGTTATTTCTTTCCTTTTATTCTCAAATGAGAAGACATGCAAATTTCTATTTTACTATCTTGCTCGACAGAATATGACAGGGTCTTTTTGCTTGTTTAATACTTTTGCATGAAACGCAGGTTAACCACAAAAACTAGTTACTTTTTTCTGGATAACTYGAAAAACAAATAKGTGATAATTAGATAGAMATTCATATTTGCAAGCAAGAACAGATATGATAAACCCTCCAGGGTTTGTACGGGTCATGGAAAACCTGGAARCCTTGGTATTGCAGTTTTCCAGGCCTGGAATGTTTTTGAGGTCTATAGAAATTCATTAAAAGTACATATATAATAATTAGGACTACCATTTCCTGAATAAATTCAAAACAAAGCATCATATTAATATTTTATGAATGAGATAGTGCTGATCAATTGCATCCTGTCAAATTGCAACCTGTTGAAGGTCACATGTATTGAAGTAATAGTATTTATGAAATATGCTTTCTTTATTTTGGTACGATTTCTTCTGCCTTTTCTCATTGCAAAGTTATTAAAAAATTAATTCCATAAATTTTATGTCTTTTTTAAAAATGCTCCAAGTGCCCCGCAAAATGCACTTGGAATCAAATCGAATTTAAGAAATTCCTTGATGAAAATGCCCAGACCTCCCTAATAACTCCCACCTTTGGCAGTAGTAAGTACCTCCTCACCCTCCATCCCAAACCAAATATATGTGGCATGGTTCCCAAAACCATGTTTTAAATTGTGGGAATTCAWGGAATTTTAGACCTTTTAAGGTCATACTCTTATTAAAATAAGAGTATGAAACATTTACCCTGGCAGGTTGCTCCCCAACACACACCCAACAAACCCTATAATACAATGAAATGATAAAAACCACAAAAGAATATCTATCTATATCTATTGTGAGTTTATTCAGTGTTTGTTTATATAAACAAGCACAAATCTGTGATGACTAYTGCACTATTTACAAAGTTGGCTATGATCAGCAGATATACACAGTAATCTAATATAAGGTGTGATACATTGATAGGAGGTTTTGTCATAAAAAAATTGTGGACCATGTATGTATACTTTCAATKTGCTTGAAAGACTAAGTGCAAAAATTAGAAAAATTATGTTATACAAAAATCATAAAAAATAAAAGTTACGTAAAACATTTTTAAATGCTTTTTTTATCTCTCGTTATAATGATTTTCTACTTGAAGCTAAGATTTTACTGTATAATGATTATCTTTAGTGCTAGAAGTTTAGATTCATTTTGCTACATGTATGTTACATTTTTGAGGTATTAATTCTACAATTATTATAGTATGTTGTTTGAATACATATACAAACTCTACCTATGGAATATCATAGTGAAATTACATTGGCTTTGGTGCTATCCAGTTTTTCTATTTTCAATAGATCTATAAGTGCCCCTTAAAATGAAAATGAGTTTTTAATTCCAGAGCTTTTCAAGGAGCACAAACCCTGGTAAATACGTAGCTGTGAAAACATTAAGGCTAAAGTATATTTAGAGGTACAGTCATTTGGAAAAATTCTTACTTCTAACCAATGTATCATTGTATTCATGATTTTTGCTATTTTTCAAACATGTATTCAACATGTTCTTCAGATTAATAAGTTAAAAGTTTTCCTTTGAAATATTAGTGACGTCACCCTATATATATTATATTTTTTAGAAGTCGGATTTTTTTAAATATTTTAGTAAGCTGGATAATTAGAAGCAAAATTCACTAATGTAAGTATAGTTTGCAAACATTCACTAATTCATTCTACCATTGTCAACATTTTCATAAAGACTAAATAAGTTAAACAATGCAGCTGTATTATAAGTAAAAAAAGACATGCTTTGGACTGTCAAACAGTTAAGAAGATGTTACCATAAGGTCTAACACAAGGAAAGGTCTGAGACTGAAGACACTTGCTTTTAGGTACAGCAACATGGCCTCTAAGATAGATGTCATCATAAAGGTCCCCTATAAAATCAACACTTGTGGGGTGGACAACTCCACGGAGATTTTTGATAAACTCTCTCTTGGTCATTTTATTTTTGACTTTTGGGCTGCTCAGGTCAACACTTAGAAGTAGCAAAGAGTTACAGAGAATAAATACAGTATCTGTAGAAAAAAAATTATAAAAGGTATACTTTGCTATAGCGGAAGACAATTTTTAATTAAGAAATAATACCAGCTTGATTAGGTGTATTTTAACTGGATTTTGAGGATACTATGTCATTGTCTTTTTCATGGTTCCCTGCGCCATCTTKAAAGGTAGCCATGCCTTTGCATCGAAGCAAGACGACTGTTGAGTATGCAATGATAGAATCCTTATTGCACACAGGCAACTATACATATGTATCATTGCACACTCTAATGGTTGTCTTGCTTTGGTGTAAAGGCATGGCTACATTTCAAGGTGGCGCAGGAAACCGCGAAGAAGACTATTCTCACAATTGAGTATGCAGCTTTTTACAGTATTATTATTAGTGATATTTGTGTACCAGTGACGCATATTGAACTTATCAATAAAAAATGGACTCATCTTTTATGAGAGAACTTGAACCCTAATACATGCAAATAGCAAATACAGTGTAGAGTAGTACACCACTACTAACAATGAAAGTACATTTATGACTGAGAATACAGTCCAAGGGTGACTATAAAGTTTTGAGAAACACTGAATTTCCAAGGGCAACAATCACAGCATAATGATCAATCATTTCAATTAGTCTATTGTTTTTATTATTATTTAAGAATGAAATTTTCTGAAGCGATGGTTTCTATGAGAGCTGAGAAAAATTTTGGTGTTGAATAATTATAAATATTATAAATCTTAATATGCTTAAATATTATTGTCATAATCATGGCTAACCTTGAGAGAGTTCACAACCTGGATTGCACCTCAAGTACCTCCTACTGAATAATTCAAGAAGTGTGTCCAAATATTCATTTCTGGCTTCTGGTGGTTGAATTAAATCAAAAAACTTTCTGAAATTAAAGGAAATTAGAGAGAATTGAGAATGCAAGTATTATAATCATTGATAAAAATGTGACTCATATGAGGTTTAACTTCATCAGAAGGCTCATAATAATTATTGTCTAAGTTCRTCATGTAATACAGGATTCAGGCGACTCCTTGTAGCTATTTCAAGATAGTTGTGAAGAAGTGAAAACAAAGTGTTAGGGTACGTTATATTTCTTCAATAAGTAGACAAGAAGCCTGAAAAGGTGAAACGTCTGSAATTAAACTTATCTAATGCCTTAAGAAGTATTTCCAAAATTATTCTTATTACACAAGGCATGGCAAACTACGTCTCTTCAGACAACCCCTCAATGTCAATGCCTGATTTTTAAATAATTAATAAGGCTTATGACCTCATGAATGTTTTTGCAAGAAAGTGCAACATGCATGGTATTGATTGGTGGTATCAAGATGGTGGATGTCATAAAAAAGACAACTCTGGAGGATATAGTTTCTTTGAGAAGTCAACATCAATACTTATGATGATGAGATGCCTTGTACCACAATAGAATATGTTAGAGGACCTGTCTTGGGAAATAGCATGCAAAAACAGCTTTATTTTGAAAATCCAACCAAAATGAGTGGAATTATTTCACAACTTCATACAACAGGAGATCCATATTCATTTTTGACAAATGCCAAAATTTGCAGTGATTATAGTGAAGTACTGCTCTATTACAGTAAGCACAGTAAGTTTTGGTAGTACATTTGCCATTCTCTCTCTTGAAAAAGCTAAGACACTGCGTACTGTGCTGCACTGCGTACAGTGAATAATATAAATTTACATTTACCTCAAAGCTTCTGGTAAAAACATGCCAGTGTATGACTGCAGACTAACTAATTCATCAAGGACATCTCTCCTGTACAAGAAAACCCACAATATGACATATTAGACTACTTCATTTTCTATTTAATTTAATAAAAAATATGCGGTGCGCCTCCATCTTAGTTGCTTGAAATGAATTTTCATTCTCAAATGACATACATGAAAACTCTAAAGGCCAGTAGACACTGGCAATTTCATGGCGACGCAATTTCAACACCAGTTATGTTGGAGTCTAACAAAATAGAAAAAAAAAATTTGGGTAAACTGAACTTGTGCAAACAAGCAGTCGTTTTTGTACCCTTTTTTACCCAGAGTAAAATCCTGCACTAGCTTGCGTGTAGACCGAATTTTTAACCCATGAATTTTTATCCAGCATCAATAATTCCGGAATTCAACCCTGACCCTGTTCCAGAGAAAATTTGTTGAAATCGATACCCTGTTCCAGAGTAAAATCACTAAAATCGATACCCAGTTCCAGAGAAAAATCGCTGAAAACAATACCCTAGCTGGCGGCACGTCCCCGTATAGCGAATATAGGGGAGTACCCCCCCTCCCCCCCCGGGTGTGTACTGGCTCCTTTAAAAAGGGGAAGTAACAAAGTTCATATTTATTAATACTCCCTTAGAAAACAATTATGTGCAATAAACAGTATTGCCTGACTGCATTATTTTAAATTGTCTAAAGCTCATTTTCACCAGAAGACTTCCCATCTATCAGCTCAAACTTTTTTCCAAAGTGGTAGAGTTGACCATTATTATACAGTCATGTATTATAAATGCATATTATTACCTTTCTTTGAGATAGTCCCTTACAGCATCAGCACGCAGTACTGTAGCTCCATTAATAAACAAAGTGATATCTTTAACTGTGTCTTTTATGATATTATTCTTGATTAAAAATAATATACCCTGAAAGGAGTWTAGTAGTAATTTAAGCCATTAACATTTTATTGAAACTTGATAGAAGGTCGACAGAGAGCAAATATGATAGTTAGGGTAACTTGCCTCTTTGGGAAGTACGTTAAATAAGCATGTCCCATCATCTAATAGCAGATAAAGGGACTTGTATGTCATATTACTCTGGAGAAAAAGAAATTATGGAACTATTAGTACACATCATKAAGTGGGTCAGTTTGTAGTCGGGTATCAGTTACGATTCTTAAATTATTATTCAATTATATATATACTGAATATTGCTTACAGCATTCAAAGACTACAATGCATTGTTAACTATTAAACTCCTTGTTAGCTGTTCTACAAAATGGCAATTCTAAACTTAAATTGCTTTCCATTGAAGGTCTTGACTGTAAGGAGCTGATATAGTCAATCTGACTATAAAACAAAAACCCCTTTTCAATGGCAACAGCAGAACAACAAACAGTTAGCTTTTGGTATTGGGATACACTCCAATATTCAAGGTTAGCTGAAGATATAGATTGTATGTCTTTGCTATCATTTGTAGTGCTGTTATGTCATTTGGCAGTGAGAGAAAAATGATATTGTTTACCTTGTGCATGGCTTTGTAAGCAGATGAATATCTCCATGTTGTTCTACAAAGACTGAAATTACAATAAATTATATATAAATGTTACATTTCTTGTCAATTTTGGACAGCCTGACTATGACAACCAAAGCCTATTTTAATTAAGCATGAATTTATTTTTCATTCTCTCAAAACAATACTAAATCAAGGGCTGCTTCCAAAACGTATCCTTCTCAGTTTTGGTTTGGCTGYATGGAGGCTACAAAAAAGGAATCATGAATTTAAGGCAAACTTGCTCACCAAAATTTTACCATGTAGTGTAACAAAATGGTTAACCATCATTGGACAATAAGATGCATGTCATTCTCACTTGAAGTCTAATAAATAATGTGCCTCACTGTCAAACTGATGGACACGTTTTTTAAGTGAATGCTTCTAATAGTTCAAAGTATTTCTAGGTGACAGTAAGCTTAATATTTTGTTCCCATTTATTATAGATACTGATGAAATACCAGGTTTTGTCCAATGTTGAAAACCTGATATTTCACAAGTGGAGGATATCATATATTTTAATGTGAAGCTACAGTGTATATTGTTGTTGACATACTTATTTTTAGCCAGACAAGAAGAGATTTAATGAATTGATATTACCTTTGTTTTAAATTGTCAAATGCATGGTTAATGAATTTTTCAAAAATATGTATCCTTGTGAACCCATGTACTGTAATATCCTCTATGCATCTAGTTCAACTCACAAAATGAGTCATATTTTTTAGCAAACAAAAAAATTAAGCATGTATTATCATACTAAAAACAGTTGCTYCAGTTTAATTCATAACATAACTTGTTCAACTTCATCCAATATGACAGTGCAATCAATCTCTGTCAAATGTGTCAAAGAAAAAAATTTTTAATTTAAGCTCTTTGATGAATATTAATTAATAGATAATAAGTTCGTATTTTTTTATTATTGTAAAAACGTACAATTGTGACAGCAGTTTTTGCAGCAAAAACATAAAATTTGGCTGTTTATGGCATGTATAAGGAATAGAGTCATGTGACAATTTGTACACCTGGACCCCATTTTACTAATAATTCATTCTGCTTAAGAAAATTCACTAGACCATCAACATTTGAAGTATTAACTCTAGAATAACAAGAATAAATTAAAAAAAAACACCAGAACTGACAGTAAAATAAAATGCCGAGTTYTCACTGAGTTCCATTAACTTAATTACGCAAACAAACATTTTATACTCCTCAAGTTACGCATGTTTACAAGAACATTTTGAATTCAAAGCCAAATTTGGAAAGGTGTGCAGTTTGAAAAACGATTGTATCTTACCTCATCCACAATAGATTATTATTGGCCAAATGTTCCCAAACACAGGCCGCCAGRCAGAGATCTGTAGCATTCAAATTCGATAACACAGCTACAGCCAACTCGGGTGGAAGGTTGTCCAGATCTGTGAACGTCTGGAGAGCATCTCTCGATTTTGGATTTCTTCGTAATAAAATCCCATGAAACTGCCCCATTAAGGCGCCCAAAGCATAGTAGAAGCTTAAGCTGAGTCTTAAACTAGGTATGGTGAAATTTCGGGGAGTAGATAAGCTTTAAAAGCTTATTGAAGTCGTTCCTCATTGCTCAGCACATCGTCAAGCCAACTTTGTTTATAGTCATAGCCATTGACATTGCGTTTGTGACGTGGCTGACAATTGCGCGTGCATTGTTTTGTGAAACCGCTGGTTACCAGGTGATAAGAATAAAGAAAAGAAATCATGATGTTTTTTTTCATCAGTGTCGTTCATTTTTGGGCTCGATAAAATTAGTTCATAAATAGCCGCTGAGTTTGCAGATGATGATTCGTCAGGGTGGCAGTTTTTAAAACAGTATTTTCAGATTTCTTCTTTTTGCGGCAAGTTTTAATGTCACTCATTGTTTTGCTCGATAAAACAAAGTGGTTGAGTAGGTTCATTTTGGAATTGGCAGAGTGGCACAGTTTTTAAAACAGCATTTTCAGGGTTTTTTATGTATTCTTTATTTATTAAAGTTTCTTGTCTTTTTGTAAAAAAAAAACGTGGAATAAAAACTGAGTACAAAAATGTGAAGGCATGGCAATTATAAAGCGTAACTGACAATAATAACAAAACTTTTCCCCCTTTTTTGACTTTAAGGAGTTCAACGGAATGATGTTTGCCATGGAGGTGAAGTGTATCGAAAGGAATCAGTGCCTTTCACCTACTCAGCGGCCCGCTGGCCTAGGACACCTACCGGTCATTGCCGAGGCAAAATTGAACCAGTAAGGTATGAATTACATCTCTTTCTCTCTCAATTGACTAAAGAAATTCGTCCGACATGCCTGCCTGCCTGCTTGCTTGATTTATTTTTTTTATTGTTGTTGTTGTTGTTGTTGTCGTCATTGTCGTTGTTGTTGTTGTTTGTCTATTTCTTTGTTTAGCTCCTTCTACGCGGTTAATAATCATCAACTCTTTTTGCACTAAAAGGCGTTGTAATGACACATCTGCATGAAGGGCGGATCCATGAAGCCAAAAACTTAGGGGAGTGCTTGATAGAACTTTTACTTATTATAATACCCTGATACCCACAACATAAAAGGGTACTTATTTCGTTGGTAAAATGTCTAAGAACTTTTTCAGTTCTGCTTGAAAGGATTGAATGTTGCTTTTTCGTTTGGTGTTATTATTGCCATTCCCTGAATCTACCCTTGCGGCTCTACGTCAAAACACTCATTTTACGCAAGAAAAGATTACATAGTTAAACGAAGCAGATTGCCGATAAATTTATTAATCTTTGTTGGGTTATTATATTAATATGTATATTTATTTTAGATATGTTTGTATTCTACTGTTTGAACTACTTTTTTTTCTTCGTGCATTTACTGACTTTACTAGTATAATACAGAGTTAGTCCGGTACACTTGTATGGCCATATATCTGCTTTGCCAGTTAATAATATCCAGGAAGAGTGTTAATCATGCATAGAAACACGCATATTACAAATGATTTCCAATCATGATGTCCATAGAACTCTGATACTAATAAGCTATTAAGAAATATGACTTGCAAGGTTAAATGGGTTTATTTTCCTGACCACTCCTGCAGAAAGAAAGAAAAACAGATGGTTGATTAATATAAATAAAGTCATCCTTGCGAGTCGTGAATACCGAGAATAGCTGCATATTGAGCGCATGGGTACATAAATGTAAAATATATGAGGAGCATTTTAATCAATGACATATTCAAAAAGTCAGTCAATCAAGTAATGAGAACAAAATGGACTCCGAAATTGTTGTTCGTTGTTTTTGTTTTAAGTAAGCAATGGTCTGAGGACTGGGGATGGTTGACGCGCGGGAAACCTTGTGGCGCAGTGCATTTTGGGATTGATAAATGATTAAACAAGTGAACAAGGTACTAGCTCCAGTCATCTGTGCGGATCCCGGGAACTGCGGACACTGCCAGTCGGARAAAGACACTACCCCACTGCAAGTACATCAAGAAAGATCTCCAGAAAATGTGCGGTTAGTCGGAAATTTTTATTGCAAATCGGCAAACAAACATATTTTGTAAAAGGAAACTACTTAAGTGTTTTTACGATTTTAGCGAATTGTTGTTTTGTGGAAGACCCGGAGATAATTTCGGTATACACTGTAAACCGAATCAAAATGGCGATATGTATTATAAGAGTAAATTGTATCCCGGCTTTCTGACGACCTTTGGAGAGTCAATCTTCGTGTTCTAACSGTTTTAGTGCATAGTCAAGAGGAGGTAGGACATTTATAATTCAAACTGAATTAGTAGGATGTATTTACTTATGTACTTAGCTTACTGAGTTTGTGACGGCCTTCAATTTGAACGGAAAGGTAAATTTTGGCAAATAAGTGGTGAAGCTGTGTTTGGTATTGTCACAATATATTGAAGACAAGTACCCGGAACATTTATCGTAATGAGCTGAAACTTTCCACGGATGTTGACAAAAATAAGAAGAACACCATCTTCAAGTTTAAAATGATTTTATTATTTACACATTTTAGTCATTGATTCTCTGGTCATTTGTGCAGATTTGTTTTTACACAATGAATTTTAATACTTCGACACATGATCACATGAAGTCGTAAATTGTAGAAAATTTAGTCTTCTAGACCGAGGATTTTGTGGCTAGTGTTAAAACCCTGTTTTAACTATCTTTTAATCATTCTAAATATCAATTCAGTATTTTGAACCTCGAAATGTTTTAATTGAGCCAAAAAACTCCTGTTGCATGCATTGTGAAAAAGAGCGGGAAACATAAAAGTTAATGTAGACGCGAGCGCAACACAAAAAACGGCGGGAAATTGGTTGAAAATGAAACCTGCATCGTTTTCACAAAGTCAACCTTTTTCAGATATCAAGTTTTCTTTCATTTCTTTCTTTCTTCCCTTTATAACATCAAACAGTGAATTTAGAAATTTTGGGCTTTCCCCTCCGTAAGGAATTGAACTAAAGATGGACCATTGTCATAGTAACGGTCGGATATGGCTTTGGACGGACCGCGACAATCAGAATGCAGTAAATACAATAATAAAGTATATCTTGCCTTAAAAGCTAGCTGTTTAAAGTAATAGCAAATTCCAATACAAATCCGTCGAGATTTTGTATAATTGTTTAGTAATATTGAAGCTACTAGCATACGGAATATCGGACGTGAATGAARAATGACGTTGATGATGATAAATAAAATCAGACATATCGGACAAACTTCTGATATTTGGTCGAACACAAGTTATTCAGTTTGTTGTTCATTATGTTTATTGAGATTGTTGTTGATATAGTCGTTTGAGTCATTGTTTACGATGTTCTTATTCGTTTCTGTCCATTTATTTGCTTGTTTTCTTTTAATATGACCCCTTAATCAAAGAATACATACCCATTTGAAGCGAGGGTAGCTTCTTTCCGTCAAGTGCTCTCTCACATCAGAGTCCAAATCAGTGTTTGCTTCTTTCTTGTCTACAGCTATGTCAGCGTCAGCCTCTCTTTTACAGTCCCATGATAGACAACCTTCGCTTTCAACGTCTCCTTGCCTTTGCATAACCTGAGTAAGTACTAAACGCTTTGAATCAAAGCTCTTATATTTTCTTTTATTTTCATTTGCTCTTTTACCAAAACATTTCCATCCCAAACATTTCTTTGCGGGTYTTGACGTGATTTCTTGTGCGTTTTCTATTTTCTGGGCTGTTCKTTTTTGTTTACATTTCCACTGAAGGCATCTTTTAGGTTTAACAACCCTTTTGAACTGTGCTCGCTTGTCTTGAGTGATTATTTTGTCGTTGTTGAAAYTAAGATCATCGCGGATCGTGCGCCCATTTTTACACCACCAACCCATGCATCGTCGCTTTACYATTGCTTTCTTGCCCTCTCCGAATAAATTCGACAGCCGAGAGATGGTGTCTTTCTCAACAATCTCCGCTGAATTCCTGTCGACGTTTCTCCTGCATMTTCCCYTCTTACAATTTGATCTTTCTCGGACCATATTGGGAAAGAGATCGTCGTTGCTTGAGCCAGCACTAACTATAACTACAGCAACAAGGAATATGGCTCCCGCTTGAAACCACGGTCCACTCATACTATCTATGACAAAAATTGCATTGATTTTACCTTTAGGAACCGAACYCACTACATGTAGATCGTAGGGGCAATTCTTTTAATAAATAGGTACACCCTCACACCATCACACCCTCCCCYCATGTAAACAGCTCCTTACACAAGGGATTTTGCTCATATGAATGCATAATTCATCAGACATAAATAGACGCACATAAATACATTGAGCGACCATTGTGCTCATGTTATCTGAGTCATACAATTTGTCACCAAATGTGAGACAAAATTACACACAAAAAWCTATAACTCCACAAAAGTAACGTTGGTTTTTATCATAAAACCGCGTGTACCAACCAAACATTTAAGAACCTATATGGCTGTAGTTTTGGCATTTTTGGCATCCATCTGATGAGAACCGTTTCATGCTGAAATCTCAAAGCAGGTTCATAATTACCAAACAGACAGTCAATATTTTATATTTTGTTGTAAATGATGATAAGTTGCCACGCTACTTTATAGTTTAGAGTGTTTTGCATATTCAATATTTTGCGTGAATAATTTAACGTCAGCCACGCCCCATAGTACATGTGCCGTTTTGTGTCGCCAAAAAAGTTGCAGATGTCATTTTCAAAATGTTTATAAGCATTGATTTTTTGAATTGAAAGAAAGACATAAATCGTTATGTCTCATAAACAAGTATAAAGCACTTTTTTAGAAGCTTGCAGATGTCATTTTTGTAACGGTTATTGATTTTATGACTTGAAAAACGTCCGTAGATATTGACAAGCAGGCTTAACAGAAAACATGAGTGTTTATTCTGCTTATCGAGTGCTCCCGGCCAATTAAAGTAGCCGCTATGTCTCAAATGTTTTAAGAGGAAGGTGCATTAAACTGATTCAATAGTTCAAGAGTTTACTCGTGCTCACATGTCARCATTTTCTATCGAGACTAATGGAAGTGTGTAGATGATGGGAAGTTTAGAAGAAATACAGGATATTACATGGGCGGGCGGAGATACGGATTTTGTCTTCGAGTGTTGAGAAGATATCTCACGAGTGAGCGTAGCGTAGCGAATTTCAACAAGAAAATTGGTATCTCCGCCCGCCCATGTAATATTCTGTTTATCATATAATTTGTATGAAATCAATCTATGTCGTGAAATACTTTTTTTATTACTTCCAATATACAGAGACACCTCGAATGTGTTATTTTCACCTTTCGAAATAGAGAATTATAGGTATTTCATAGATAATTAGATGATAAATATTATTATTTATCATATAATTTTCTATGATCGCTACGCTCACTCGTGAGAGATTTTTTCAATACTCGAAGATAAAATCTGTATCTGCGCGCGCCCATGTAATATCCTCTATTTATCTTRTGATATGAAATTCTTATAAAAATAAAGTCCAAAATGATGTTTAATCATGAAGTCACAAATACAGATTAAGCAAACTTCATTTAGATGTGTGTTTTGCAAAGCATTTTTCATTTTCCTGTTTTAGTCTCAACTCTTAAACAAGAAAGGCTGATTTTCTATATGTACTTAAAATTGAGCTTTGCGGTTACGTAATTTTTCGTCGAGGGCCTGTGGCATG